TGTGTGTGTGTGTGTGTGTGTGTGTGTGTGTGTGTGCGGTGTGTGATGGACTACTCTGGAGAAGTGTGCATGTGTGTGCATGAAAAGGTCTTGAATTCGGCTGGCGACTTGCAAACTTTTTAAGCATTTCTGTGAAGTGTGTTTTGGAAATTAAAATAGCTGTATCAGATTTATATTTCCGTGTATAAATGAATAGTTTTCAGAAAACTGAAAATTCATAAATTCCACGGCCTCATGTTGTTATAACCCGTTTTTAACCTGAATATGTCCAGGTCATATTTTACCCCAAAATCAAAATAAATGATATATACAATCTTTTAAAGAAATCTTAAAAGATTTTTAAAAGATCTTAGAAAAATCTTCAAACTTAAAAAAATACAATTAAAAAAATTAATAATTTATACTCATTTATTCTAATTATGAAAATATTGTTGTGCCAATAAAGGATCATTTTAAAGGTAAGGATAATTATGATAAGATTTTTATTTAGTAACCTTATTTTATAATTATAATATAATAATGCTTAATGACAATTTTAATTATTTTATCATTTTCAGTTTACCCATTCACTGATAATGTTCCTCTTGGCTGTACAACTGCAACATTCGAATCAACACTATAAAAATGTTCAAGTGACTTAACTATTGTGCTTTTTGTGATATTTAAAGTAAAAAAAATAAAAAAATAAATTAAAATTAAATTAAAATGACTGAACTTTTTGTGAATCAACCTTTTGACTGAATCAACAACATTATTGTTTATCTCAGCAGTAATCTGTTTAATTCAATTTACAGAATTAATGTGTAGTTCAGTCTGGCTCAGTGAGAGCTCTTAATAAAAACGCTGTATGAGGATTTTATCCAGATATCTTCAGTGGGCTCTGGAGGTGAGACAGGTCACTATGGATCTTCTAGCTGAGCTAACGCAAACATCTCTCCAGGGTTTCTCAGAGTCTGTCTTTCCACAGCGTGATGTGAACTAAATGAATGCAGCTCGACAGGGTTGTGAAGGATAGAATAATATTGTTGCAGCATATGCTGACACTCGTCTCGTTGCTTTCTTTTGGCCAGAGTGCATTCTGGGATCAGTTTAGCTTCCTTTGATATATTGTACAAATGGCGTTTTGTGATGGCTAAACTTACCAGCACAATCATTTTTAGCAGAACATGTTTAAGTTTCATTCATCCTGTATAGAATTGAATTTCACGTCTAGAATAAATCTCTAATCTACTCTGCATGTAACATTATTATTATTGAATACAACACTGTTTAGAGTATAAACATAAGTATTTAGTGACACAGTAACATTATCTGTGTGTAGAGCTGTGTGTATGTGTGTGTGTGTGTGTGTGGCCTCGCCTGGTATAATATGGTTTTGTTTGGCTAATGTGGGGTCAAACAATCCAGGAAAAACTGGCCACAGCTGTCACACACACACAGCCGGGGCAGATTGAACCATCTTTTTCAACAATGCTACATAGCAAAATATAACACACATCTGCTACTTACATTTGCTGACAATAACACAAATATTATTCAGACATATGAACTTAGTCTATGCTATGAAGATTACATCAAACTCTTAATTTCCACATCTAAGATTATAAATTCAAATATCTCTTGTGTGTTGACAATGATGTTTTGTTGTGTTTTCTGAGGTTCGGTATGGTTTTCTTCTGGTGCTTTAGTGCTAGCATGCTGTTATGCAAATGAGTGGTTACCTTGGTAATGAGTGACAGTGAATGGGAAGGTTGTGGCCTGAATCTAAATGAGCAGAGTAGGCAGGGTTTGTTTTCATGTAATGGCACTTGCTTGCTCTCTCCACTGTTAAAATTGATTTAAAGGGGTCACATTCAAATACATTGGGCATTCAAAACAGAGTTTCTGGAAAATGGATCAAACTACTAGGTCAGTGAACTACATGAAAATTGTGTTCATGTCATTTTGTTGGTGTGTACTAGTATTAGGAAAACATAATCAGTGCAGAAAACTGTATTATGGGTGTCTGAAATATGACATATATTTTGGTCCCACTTTATATTGTGGCCCTAATACCCGTGTACTTACATAGTAACTAGATGTGCACATAGTATATAACCACAGTGTAAGTACACATTGGTACATAGTATCTACAGCTCTAATGTTTGTGTAACTACACATATGTAACACAGTCCAGGAGGCCATGGCGGATCAGGGGACTCAGGAGGCCATAGCTGATCCTCCATGACTTTAGCCAGCTCGGCCACGGGCATATGGCTCCCCCCAAAATTTTCTTGGGGAAACTTAGGAATTCTTGGGGGTGCTCTGGAGGAGCGGGCACTTGAGGGCACTCTGGAGGTGCAGGGCTGGCTAACTCGGGGGAATCAGGAGACGAAGGAGGGCTGGAAGGGACCAGTGGAGACAAAGGCGACTCAGGGGACGATAGAGAGCTGGACGGGACCAGTGGAGATGAAGGATAACTTTCTGGAGCGGATTCTGGGGTGAAGAAAGGAGCCAAGAACTCTGGAGGTAGCGCCATGTCCAAGAGCGCTGAGTCAGCGGCGTCCGGTGAGCCTGAGTCAGTGGCGGCCGGCGGGCTTGACGTAGGAGAGGCCAGCGGGCCTGACGGCGAGCTTGTTCTAGATCGGGGATGGACACTCTCCAGACACCGGAGGATCCCTTCCCTCCAGCTCAGTCCAGTGGTGTCTGGGAGGTCCACGGGGTGATGATAGTTGGCCCCGATCCAGAACAGAGAGTTAATTGTGGCGTCATCCAACACCGTAGTAGTGGCGAGCCAGCAGAATTCCCAGGTGAACTCTATGAAGGGAAGATCCCTGTGGGCTAGAGCGGAGAACCGAGCGGCTATTTCCATGGCCACGGAGAGAAATAAGAAAACCCAAAAACGGAAAAGAAACACGGGGAGGAGAGATGCCGCTCACTTTTTGTTGATCTGGAATTCTGTCACGGCTCGCTACTGTGAGGAGCACGGAGCGAGGAACGAGGAGACGCAGAGTCGAATTCAAACTTATAGACTTTAAAGGGGTCATATGATGCGATTTCAAGTTTTTCTTTCTCTTTGGAGTGTTACAAGCTGATTGTGCATAGATAAGAGTTTGCGAATTTGCTATTGACTGTTCAAATGCGGAGTTTTGCGCAGCGTGTGTGTGTGCGCGAGCGAGCGAGCGAGAGAGAGAGAGAGAGCGAGAGACAGCATCACATCAAAGTGGAGTCAGCTGTCTTAACTGCGGCTTGTGTACTGCATCATTGTGTACTGCATCATTACTGTGTCTGTTCCCCTTTCGGGTTTGAACTGATGGTAAAACTAATTACATTATTTACTGTCTTTACATTTATTTTGAAAGATGAAGCTCGCGATTATGGTAAGGGGCGTTACATTTCCGATGAGTACTTGCGGTGTTCGGCCAATCACAATGCACTGGGTCAGCTGGCCAATCAGAGCAGTCTGCGCTTGTCGGAAGGAGGGACTTTGTAGAAAACGAAGCGTTTGAGAGAGGCGGGGCATAGAGGACCTACAATAATGTACAGAATTTGAAAAATAATGTGTTTTTTGAACATTAAAGCATGTCAACATATTCTGTTACACCAAATACACAAAATAATGATCTTTAAAAAAGCATCATATGACCCCTTTAAAAATATCCAGGGAAACAGGAAAACACACGTAGCAAAGGTAGACATGAACAATTCCAGACAAGGGAGAACAGAATGTGCTAGAACTCAAATAGGGCAGATAACGAGGGGCAGACAGGTGAGGAGGATAACTAATAATGAGAAACACCTGGAACTAATAGAACTAAGTGGGGACTGGAACAGGAAGTACTAAATAAGGACAAACAGGAACTAAACGGGAACATACACATAACAGTATGAGTGTACAAAACTTTATAATTTTTTATAAAAGATTTTCAAACATGTTTTTTTCAGATCAAAATACAAATTCTCAAATATAATAATTTTTTGAGTCAGGAATACCATGTTTTTTTGGGGGTTACTGCATTTGACCTGAATAAAACTTGCATCTTCATAAAAAGCTTGCCTTATCTGAATTATTATTATTTATTTTTTTTGGAGAATTGAGTGGCCTTGACACACATTGTTTGAACTCAGATTGCAGGATGCCCGTGGGGGCTGGTTCTAATCTTCTTTGACGGCGAAGAACCATTTGGCAATTTAAAACCCCTATACAACGTAACATCTCTGACCAGAACTGTAATTTATATGCAAATGTCAAAAGGCTAAAAGGGGTCTTTTAAGCCATAAACAGTCCAACTATCATGCATGATCCTACGCAGACGCTACATTCATGCATGTCTAAAGGGATGCTCTGTATTTCATGGTTTTCCTGTCATATGACAACTAAACATCCATTAAGCACATTTTAAAACAAACATATTCCCTACATTCTCTTTAAAAACGGCTTTTTTTTCAAGCCAGTCAAATTTTTATAAGATATTACATAAGATATTTTATAAGATTGTCTGCAGACAGTTACCGTGTTACTTTGTTACTTAATAAAAAAATGTGTCTGTCAAACAATAGCTGTGCAATAAGCCATTATATTGATAGATCGCCTTCCCATGGTGCATTAGCAGAAATAAAGTATTGCTCTCAGTCATTTCGCATTGTTCTGCTGGCATTGTTGTGCAGAGGCCATTGTTTCATTGCTTCTGTCACTTTGGTGTTTAATAAGAATCTGCTACATTACTCCTTTTCTGCTCGTGTTCATCAGCAGGAGCACGCTGTGGTGCTGTATTCTGATATTTGTGGTTGGAAAAACCCAGAGACCTTGATTCAGATATTTCACAGTCACTGTATGCCATTTATCACCGCATATTTCCTGAAAGTGATTTTAGGATGAGTCATGCATTTCCCTTTCTGCTATTATTCATGGCCTAATTAGTGGCGGTTTCCTTTGTTCTTCTGTGTGTTCATTGAGTTCAGCATGAGTGTAGAAACAGATGCTGTGTGTTGAATGTAGGGCTGAGGATTGTGTGAAGTTATAATCTCGTCCATAGATTGTTACTTGAATCTCAGGCAACACGTTGGCTAGTTACATTTTAAACCATTGTTTAATCATTTTTGTCAAGCTTATTTTGATGTGTTGGATACTAAAGCGCATGTAATACATTTGAAGTTATAAAGGTATATTTTAAATGCCATCTAATGTGTGCATAGCTAGGATATTACAGTATCAGTTCATGGTAATATTAACACATTTTAATGTTTTTTGTTAAATATATTTTTGTTGCCTATGAACGATAAATGATTTTGGTACTGGGAGTAGCAAGTTGAGTTTCATTCAATACCAAAAAGTATAAAAATAAATAAATAAAATGTTTTAATTGTGCATCAATGTGATATTCATCACATTGACATCAAACTAATTTGTTCTGCTTGTGGAGTTGCTGTCTAATTCTGTCTAGACTTTTTTTTTTAATGAGTCCTTTATGAGGTTATTTTTGGCGGTTAGCATTCTGCTTTAGACAACAGGTAGCCCACTAGTGTTTGGAACAGAGCCAGCGTCCTTTAGCATAAGTGTGAGGGTTAATTGAAACGTTTCCTGCTGCTCTTTATATGTGTGTATATGTGAGTGACACTATATCCTTCTCTCTCTGCTCTCTCAGTGATGGAGAGATGAGGTATTGATTTCAGTGTCTGGAATGAACATGCAGTAGGAAACATCTCTGCAGCTCGTTCTGAAGAAAAACTCCACTCAAGTAGTTGACTGAGAGAAAATGAGCGACTATTAGAGAAAATAAATGAACAATTGTTCTGTGTCTTGAGTCAGTGTTATCTATGTTGAATGTAGTCTGGGTTATAAAGATTGTGGTGCTGTATTCTGATATTTGTGGTTGGAAAAACCCAGAGACCTTGATTCAGATATTTCACAGTCACTGTATGCCATTTATCACCGCATATTTCCTGAAAGTGATTTTAGGATGAGTCATGCATTTCCCTTTCTGCTATTATTCATGGCCTAATTAGTGGCGGTTTCCTTTGTTCTTCTGTGTGTTCATTGAGTTCAGCATGAGTGTAGAAACAGATGCTGTGTGTTGAATGTAGGGCTGAGGATTGTGTGAAGTTATAATCTCGTCCATAGATTGTTACTTGAATCTCAGGCAACACGTTGGCTAGTTACATTTTAAACCATTGTTTAATCATTTTTGTCAAGCTTATTTTGATGTGTTGGATACTAAAGCGCATGTAATACATTTGAAGTTATAAAGGTATATTTTAAATGCCATCTAATGTGTGCATAGCTAGGATATTACAGTATCAGTTCATGGTAATATTAACACATTTTAATGTTTTTTGTTAAATATATTTTTGTTGCCTATGAACGATAAATGATTTTGGTACTGGGAGTAGCAAGTTGAGTTTCATTCAATACCAAAAAGTATAAAAATAAATAAATAAAATGTTTTAATTGTGCATCAATGTGATATTCATCACATTGACATCAAACTAATTTGTTCTGCTTGTGGAGTTGCTGTCTAATTCTGTCTAGACTTTTTTTTTTAATGAGTCCTTTATGAGGTTATTTTTGGCGGTTAGCATTCTGCTTTAGAGGGCAGCTGCCTGTTTAGTCAATAGACAACAGGTAGCCCACTAGTGTTTGGAACAGAGCCAGCGTCCTTTAGCATAAGTGTGAGGGTTAATTGAAACGTTTCCTGCTGCTCTTTATATGTGTGTATATGTGAGTGACACTATATCCTTCTCTCTCTGCTCTCTCAGTGATGGAGAGATGAGGTATTGATTTCAGTGTCTGGAATGAACATGCAGTAGGAAACATCTCTGCAGCTCGTTCTGAAGAAAAACTCCACTCAAGTAGTTGACTGAGAGAAAATGAGCGACTATTAGAGAAAATAAATGAACAATTGTTCTGTGTCTTGAGTCAGTGTTATCTATGTTGAATGTAGTCTGGGTTATAAAGATGTCTATGGAAGCCCGTTTCTGCCAATGAATAAAAAAAAAGTAATTTCAACTTTTTATCTCATAATTCTGTCTTTTGTCTCATAATTCTGACATTTTTCTAAGAATTTCGTGACATAAACTCACAATTGTAAGTTGTAAAGTCAGAATTGCAAGATATAAACTCACAGTCCTGAGAAATAAAGTCATGCAGTCAGAATTGTGAGATATAAACTTGCAATTTTACTTTTTTTTCTCAGAATTGGACTTTATAAATCGCAATTGCGAGTTTGTATCTCAAAGTTCTGAGAAGTCAGAATTGCGCGATATAAACTTGCAATTACGAGAAAAAAGTCAGAATTCTGACTTTATAACTAGCAAATGTGAGCTTATATCTCATAATTCTGAGGAAAAAAGTCAGAATTACGAGTTTATATCATGCAATTGTGAGAAATAAAGAGTCAGAATTGTGAGACAAAAAAGGCGCAAATACCTTTTGACTTTGAGAAAAGACTAAATTAAATATTATTTATCTGTACTCCACAGCTGGATTTCAAAGATTTGTGTCATCAGTACTAACAAACTACAAATAATAATAAAAAAATATGATTAGTGTGTATTCATACTCTAAAAACTGGGTGCAAAGCTTGTTATAAAAATGCCTCTCGAAGCATCAGTCCAGACGAATGTGTAACATTCCTCCAGGATTTATAACTGGGATAAAAACACAAACAGAAGACTGAACTTAATGCCAACGATTTTTTGTCTACCCTCAGACTCCTGGAGCACAGAGCAAAAGCAAACAAACACTACCGCCCAGTGAGAGAGAGACAGCCAGAGACAGAGAGTGAGAAAGAGGAGGGAAATGTCAGGCCGAATTAATGAATTATCCATGATGCTTTCCCTGCTATGTGATGACAAGGCAATACGCTTCCCTAAGACATTCACATTCAACACAATCAAACACACTGTTACATATCTAATAGGCTGACAGTGACAAGTGTGAAATGTGCTCCAGGAATGGTGTGAATTGTTTAATTAAGACCATTAAAACTAACAAGATTCTGAAGAAAATGTGAGTTGTGCTGTGTAAAACTCACTGCCATGTTTTCACGGTTTTGCAGTATGATTGTAAGGTTTTCTAGGTAGTTATTTACTGGTCCACATCAAAATAACCCACCCTCATGTCTCTATGACATATCCGTGTCTAGATATGAAAACTGGTGTGCGTATGAGATGTCCTCACTAATATCAAGTGTGTATGTTTTGGTGGATAAGTGTATGTGTGTGTCTTACTGTATATGTTTTTAGGTTGCATTTTGCACAGAAGTACATATTATGTCAATTATATACGTAAGTACAAACCGAATGTTGTGATTTAGTACATTTAAAATATATTAACTTGCAATGCAATATCAAATAACACTACAGGTAAAATGATAACTTACTTTAAATGTGCTTTAGTGTGTTAGTCAACACATCAAAATAATGTACTTCTTTAAAGCATGGCAAAAGATTATTAAAACAATGATTTAAAATGTAATTTAAAACTTTGGCATTACAAATTTGGCCCTTTGTTTTTATTTCAGTAAAATTACATTATGGATGAGATGTTAACCGAGGTCCTGACTCTCTGTGGTCATTAAAAATCCCAGGATGTCTTTCGAAAACAGTAGAGGTGTGACCTCGGCATCCTGGCCAAATTTGCCCATTGGCCTCTGATCATCATGGCCTCCTAACAATCCCCATATCTACTGATTGGCTTCATCACTCTGTCTCCTCTCCACCAATGAGCTGGTGTGTGGTGGGCATTCTGGCGCACTATGGCTGCCGTCGCATCATCCAGGTGGATGCTGCACACTGGTGGTGGATGAGGAGATACCCCCTGACAATGTAAAGCGCTTTGAGTGCCTAGAAAAGCTCTATATAAATGTAATGAATTATTATTATTATTATCTGCACGTACCGTATTTATTTATTTGTTTTTTCATTATAATTAAGCACATCTTTTCAGAAGGGAGAAGACGTGCTGTTTTGTGTTTACATTACTTTTAGAAGCAAGTTATGGGAAACCAATACCACAATGATAGACTGCTGTGAAAATTTAAAAAACTCTTGATATTTGTGTGTGCAAATATTCAGACAGTCAGTGAACACACTCTGTGCGCAGTCTACGGCAGACTTTTATTGTTTTAAAATGTGAAGATTTCCTTAAAAGGAGGGTTTAGTTCAAGATTTGGCTAATCTCTTGGGACTTTTTTTTTAGCGTTATTTCCGAAAGCATGGCTAGGTTAGAAACACACACATATGCTCATTTCTCATTAGATGACACACACAGACCTCACAAGAGGAGACAGGCCAGTGTGTGAAGAAATATGCCAGCGTTTAACACATTTAACACCAAATCAGCAACGTGCTAATTTCCCAGCAACACCTCTTCATATGCTGTTGACCCCTTCCCCCTTTTCCCCAGAGGTTTTTTATAAGCTGTGTTTACATGGCCACTGGCAGCCGTTTAACTCTATTATGAAAGCTGAAACGGTGGTAGACACAATCTCTGTGTCCTCACGTACCCCTCTGACTCTCTCTAAGTGTCTCTATTAGCTGTTGTGTGTGTTTTTGAGGTCTTGACTGTGGTGGAATGTCCTGGTTTGAAGGCTCTCGAAGGAAATCTGTTCAGTTCTGTCATTAGATTGCCGCTTCTGGGTTTCTGCTGCTCACGTGCACTTCAGTCACTCTCAGCTTTCACAATTTCCTCTGTTCGAGCATCGTTTACAATCTCACTTCAGTAAAGATGATGGCTGGTGATATTACTCCCACACATCAACACGGCTCTCCTCTGTCATTTCTAACAGATGCAGCATATGAGACTTTGAAAAGCGCCTTTTGGGGGGTTAATGGGCATTCTGTCAGGAGGACCCAATTGCAGTGTGAGTAACAAGGGTTTATTGACAAAACAGATCCATACAAAAGGGTAGTGAGGTGCACAAGTGATACCACAACAGGAACACACTAAACTGAGATAGCTAGGGAAGGCCACTGGAACAGCCTCAGACATCAACTGGCAGAATACTATAGCAGCAGAGGAGACGGCAAGACCAGGCCGGGAGAGAGACCAGAGCAAGGCACCAGAGAGCTGAGCTCAGATACTTATTGACCATAAACTCTGAAGTACCCCAGACACCAGGCAAGGGAACCAGTGGACAGGAACTGGTCAGGACAGGAACTCTAACACCACAACAAGACAAAACATAGCTCCACAGGAACACAATTTACTCCAAGACAGGCAAGATAACTAAAATATCAACCAAAAAATGAAAACAAAAGATCAGGACTAAGAGAACTAAATGAATACTAAATTAAAGGCAAAAGGACAAAAACAGACCGCATCCAAAAACAAGCAAGACAAGAACATAGAATTACAAGAGACAAGACTAGAGCACAAGATCAAACCGACAGCGAGACAGGAACACATAATCATCCACAAACACAGTGAGGGAAAGAATGACCACGAACCAACAAAGACAATAGGGCAAGGGGCACTAATGAAGGATATGTGTATTCAATCAAAGAAAGGTTTTCCTATGAATTAATTAGAGAACATTCCATTTCTCTGGGCATCATGTGTCTTTCTTATGAGGAAAATGAGGGAGTTTATCTGCCCGCATTCCTTTAGGCAATAAAACAAGTGATATCAGCATTGGTTACCATGGAACCAGAGGCCTGTTCTGCCTTTCTGAGGTGTTAGGTGCATTTCGGGGGAAGGGTCCATAGACCCTCGTAATTGGCCCTTTGGTTAGGTGAGGGGGTGTTAGATATTATTTGTTAAATATAACAAAAAGTTGTGTGTCTGATTGGTCCAAATGCTACACAGGGCAAAACCCTGACACATTCTTTGTTTCTCTGTGTGTAGTATATATGAGTATGGATGTATTTTTATGATTCTCAGCAGGTCAGATCACCCCTCACTGCTTCTGTAGCCAAGGCTCATTGCAATTTAAATGAGTTTATTACTGTGGAAAATGCGGCTTGACCAGCTTGAATTCACTGACAGGACCTGCTACATTTAATATATCTCATCCTTAATTTATGTAGGGCAACTCAGTGAATGAGTCCCACCTGCGTATGAATATATATTGCACCTACTCTATGGCCCTTCACCATGTTTCAATAAGTAGTATATGATTACTTATTACATGTTATCGTTTAGATAAAACTATGGTAACCAATAGCCACCACTGTCATAAAATAATTAAGCAAGATGATAGGAAGATGGATAAAGTTGAAAGCGATCTTATGATTTACTATTTCACAGTCACATTAACTGTAACCTATTTTATTATACATTTGATTAACGTTATACAGTTTGCATCAAGCTGTATTGTACTATTCAAATATTAGTTTATTAGGGAGACACTTTAATATATATATGAATGTGATCATTTTCATCTGCATCTCATTTTTAATCTCAGTTTCTTGCACCTGTTTAAATATTCTTTACAATTTAAATAATACTATAACATTATTTTTTAATACAATTTTATTTATTCATTCATTCATAGTAACGAGAATTCAATTGTTTTATTTTTCAATTACATAGGACTGTTGCTTGATGTTTTTCATGATATTCACAGTAGTGGTTTTGGGTCTTCATCATTGCTGCTGTATCTTTTTTGTGTGTGTGTGTGTGTGTGTGTGTAATTCAGTTGCATTGTAAATGAGTTGCATATCTCCTTGGCTTCTTGTGAACAAGACTTCAAACATGCTACTCTGATTCAGAGAGGATGTGTGTGTGTGTGTGTGTGTGTGTGTGTCTGTAATTTCTCTCATGCTTTATGATGAGAAAGCTCTGTCTCATGACCCTGAGATGTAGGAGTCTGATCTGCAGCTCACACTGGCCGGGCCACTGTAATGTAACCGCAGTATTTGCCAGTGAGGGTCAACTGCGGTCTCATTGTGACCAGGCTGTAAATAACACAGGGCTGAAAGACAATAAGGGACAACAGACAGAAAAAGACCTCCATTCTTCACAGATAATTACAAAGCAGACAACAAAAAAGCAGAATGGTGACTTTGAACCTTGTTTGTGATCTTACCCCACAATACAATGAATGTGCAACTGATGGTTTTCAGAGAGACTCAGAGACAGACAGATGTTTCCCATGAGCTGACAGACAGACCTTTGCCCTTTGTCTTTTAACTTGCAACGGCATGAAAGCTGCATCATGATTTCTAATTACAAGATAACAGTGGAAATCAAATTAAAATGATTGTCATAAAGTCCATATGTTTATCATCAACATTATTCATTGGCAACTGTTTTTTTTTTTTTTGGAAAGGGATTTAAGGGATCTTCTGCTGAAGGAATAAAATATTACATAGACTAGAGTGCACTTTTGATATAAGTATTAAAATTGGAGATTGGGGCTGTTTTTCTGCAAAGGGACCAGGACGACTGATCTGTGTAAACGAAAGAATGAATGGGGCCATGTATCGTGAGATTTTGAGTGAAAACCTCCTTCCATCAGCAAGGGCATTGAAGATGAAACGTGGCTGGGTCTTTCAGCATGACAATGATCCCAAACCCACTGCCCGGGCAACGAAGGAGTGGCTTTGTAAGAAGCATTTCAAGGTCCTGGGGTGGCCTAGCCAGTCTCCAGATCTCACCCCATAGAAAATCTTTGGAGGGAGTTGAAAATCCATGTTGCCCAGCGACAGCCCCAAAACATTACTGCTCTAGAGGAGATCTGCATGGAGGAATGGGCCAAAATACCAGCAACAGTGTGTGAAAACCTTGTGAAGACTTACAGAAAACGTTTGACCTCTGTCATTGCCAACAAAGGGTATATAACAAAGTATTGAGATGAAATTTTGTTATTGACCAAATACTTATTTTCCACCATAATTTGCAAATAAATTCTTTAAAAATCCTACAATGTGATTTTCTGGATTTTTTTTTCTCATTTTGTCTCTCATAGTTGAGGTATACCTATGATGAAAATTACAGGCCTCTCTCATCTTTTTAAGTGGGAGAACTTGCACAATTGGTGGCTGACTAAATACTTTTTTTCCCCACTATATATATATATTACACATATATTACATTCAGAGGCATTAGGAACATTTTGAAAATATAGTGAATAAACTCTTTGTACATTTTCCTTAATGTGAGAGTCTGCCAACCACAAACAATTTACACTATAACAGTGTAATTGTAAAATAAGTTAATTAGTCTTACCTTTAATTTAGCAAAATATAATTCTTTCCATCATTCATTCTTTCTTTTGCTTGTTGGCAGTGTCCATATTGTGTGTTCAAATGACATGTGAACACTAGCTGAATATGTAGTCTACTGTACTCATGAAATTCAAGTATATAGTCAATTCTTTATGTTATGTTATAATACATTTTCAGGCCAGTTATTTTGATTTCAGATTCCGCTGTTATATCATTTGCCTGATGCAAATTACAAGTCTGATCATTAAGAAAAGTAATACCACAACTCTCCTTAACAGACCTCACAAAATGTCTGTATCACAAAGTCATCAATGAGTTACATTAGTTTATTTTTTAGGGTTAGTGGTCTGTTCAAATCCACATATAAATAGTAGTAATATTAGCAAACTCTAAATCTAAAAGTCCCTTCTAAATATAATTGACTTCCAACACAGGGTCATTGGAAAGATGTGCCTCTACCTACATTTTTGCATAAACTTGCCTATTCGTATAATTGACCCTTCGCAAAGATCCGCCCCCCTTAGTTACTGTTGCTACGTCCGACAAGCCATGGCGCTGTCACGCCACATGTTCTCACACAGTGCAAAAATACATTGCAGAGCAAAGAGGATACTGACAACGCGCTGACAGACAAGACAGAACAGGTTACTTCTGGTATAAAACAAAAGTGCCAGCTTTCATATTTTGTAATTTTTAAAAGAAATTCAAACAATAAATACGTGAACCGATCATCTCTTTCTCGCAAAATAAACATGAATGAACATCAGAAGGTATCTTGTTTCAACCGTGGAGTCAAGTTCACAGATGTTAATCTACTCTCCTGTCTGGTTTGTTTCTCGGACAAAATGGCAGATTCAGCATTATGATTGGTCAGAATGCCTGTCAATCAAACTCCCGGTGAAGGGTCAATTCACTGCATCTGAAATATTCACTAGTGAAATATCTGCCAACAACTTATCGATCTGCCCCTTCTCGACATAAATCATATATTTTGGCCTAAATATTTCTTTGGGTACAAATCAGGTTTGGCACAAAATGTAAATTAAGAAAGACTTCTCTCTGGGTGATTGATTCATTTAATTGACTATCAAACCCTAAAAGTAAACATCACTCGCTACATTTGAATCAGAGTTCATAGTCAACATATGAAAACATCAAATGCAACATCCTGGATTCATCCCAGCTGAAGCGCTGAAACTGTTATAGTAATTACTGAGAGTGGCCAGGTGGTTAAACGCTTGTTCGCAGCTTCCCTACGACAGAAGAGTCTCGCTTGATCTCTCCAGCAGCCCTATCCATCCCTGGAGACAAACGTGGGAGTTAAATGACTGCAACAAGACAGCAGGTGTTGCTTTATTTAACACCGACATGGAGCTCTAAACGTGATCAGAGGGAATCCGGGGCTGTATCACATATACTGAGGCATCACACATACATATCGAAGTGAAAGCCTGGTGCCAACTCGTGCTGAGCTGCTGCGTTTCTATCAACTGATTGTATGGTGGTCTGCCAGTGCTGTGTCGCACAGGTGGGTCTCTGAGAGGGGTCTGCTACTGGAGGCTGTTACGATGGGTTTATTGAGAAACATCTGTTAAGTATATCCTCCACAGCACTCGCAAGGTGTTTATACTGAGATTTGAGACATGTTTGCATCTCACAGGGTGACCTGCTCTAAAGAGAGATGCCAACAAAGAACAGAGAAAGAAAAATACTAGCAGATTCCCTAAACAAGACCTGCACATCCATTTAACTGTTCAGCTTCCAGAGTACCACCACAAGAAAGAATCGACAGAAACTCTTAAACTTTAGAAAAACATACCTGGGGCCACAAAATGTTATTGTGTTGCTTCTTGCACATTTTGTGACACTTTCAAAAGGAAATATACAGTGAGTGGCACTAAAAGCCATAACCCATACTGTCAGCAAAAGCAAATGTGAGATTAAAATGCATTTACTGAAGCAGCCATGTAATTTTAGCTTGCTTCTGCAAGTATTTTAGCTCTTTTATTATGATTTCATGGGATGCATACCTGAATGCACTGCATCTCAAGTGCTGTACCAGGTGAGCTACCGAGCATGTGTGTGTGTGTGACCCTGTACCACAAGTGTTAAGTTGCTGGGGTATATTTGTAGCAATAGCCAAACAAC